TGGAGCTGATGATTTACAGCCACTTTTAACTAAATGTAAATAGACACCCCGTATTTTTTATTCCCTAGTAAGGGCAATTCATACAATACATTTAAACTGAGCTACTTTAATACCATCTCCGAACTTTCTACCACGACTCTGCTGTTCTTCGGCTGGTTCTTCCTGTATACATTGATTGACAGATGTCTCGTCCAGTCAGCGGTGAGTAATCCCAAACCAATGGCGCTGTCTCAAACTATACCTACCTTTTCCGGTTTGTCTGATTTGTCGTTGTGTTTTCTGACTTGTTAATTTGTTTTCGGATTTGTCGTTATGTTTTCTGACTTGTTATTTTGTTTTCGCATTTGTCATTGTGTTTTCTGAATTGTTATTTTGTTTTCGAATTTGTCATTGTGTTTTCTGAATTGTTATTTTGTTTTCGAATTTGTCATTGTGTTTTCTGACTTGTTATAATGTTTTCTGAATTGTTGTCGTGCTTTCTGAATTGTTATTTTGTTTTTTAGACTTTCATTTGCGTTTGTAATTTGTTATTTTGTTTTCAGAATTGTGATTTGCTTTGCACTTGTCGGCCACCGTACAAAACAGTAGGCAGCGCACTACGATTTGAGACAGCAACCAAGCACGCAGCCTCTGCTGGAAATTCCAACAGCACAAGAACAGAACACAACTGAAAATAAATATATCTTTCATTTCTACGACACACACGTAGAATCCGAGAATAACGTTTGTTTTTCGTTTAGTGTTTTTCAGAATAATCTTTTCATCTCTATCAAAACACACTTGTGAAAGTCATGTAAGTATAAGAATGAATCATTACATTGCGTTGTCAGCAACACATATAACCCTGTTCGTTACCTTCCCTTCTGCCACACGCCACACCGCCGCCATAAATAATAACCGTGCGATGAGAATCAGCATGATCCTTCAGCGACCCGCGCGACCGAACTCAAGTAACTGACCATCACCCCCGGAAATGTTGCAAGGCAGTCCTCCTGTAACCAGGAAGCGACGGCGTGTTTGACACAAGCACACAGCAGAGCAGACCACACTCTTGCCTCTGAGTCACATGAGCTCCTCCTGCACTGTAGAGGCAAAAATTCCTTTCAACCCTGGAATGAGGATTTAGGAAAAACCAAACTTATGAGGTAAATGAAGGAGAAATAATTGATGCTCTGAACTGTTTCTATGTCACTAAGCAAATTTGTGAAAATGATGTAAAATTTTCAGTTAAGGCACTCCGATATTATATATTTGGAAAATGCAAAAGAAAAATATGTGCAGTGTACATATAAACCCATCCACTGTAGACTACACATTGTGTTAGATAACGACAGACAGAATGAAAACAATAGAAAGACAGACAGACAGACAGATAGATAGATAGGTAGATAGATAGATAACGACAGGCAGAACAGTAGAATGACAGAATAGAAAGAAAGAAGATAGATATATTTATAGATAGATGATAACGACAGACAGAACAGCAGATTGAAGAACAATAGATAGAAAGAACAGTAGACAGAATGATAGAACAATAGATCAAAACTATGACAGATAGAAAGAATGAAAGTTAGAACGACAGAATTATAGAAAGAATGACAAAATGATAGATAGAACAATAGAATGATAGAAAGAACAATAGAAAGAACGGTAGATGTAGAATGATAAAATAGAGGGATAGAATGAAGGAGCCAAATACAGAAAGAACGTTAGATAGATAGATAGATAGATAGATCAACAGAAAGAACTGTAGAACAGAATGTTGATAGAATAGATAGAAAGAACAGTAGATAGAATGATAGAACAATAGTTAGATAAAAACAATACAATGACAGATAGAAAGAATGATAGAACAAAAGATAAAATGACAGAAATATAGACAGAAAGGTAGATAGAATGATAGAACGACAAAATGATAGAAAGAACAACAGACAGAAAGAACACTAGAATGATAGTTAGAACAATGGTAGATGTAGAATGATAAAACGATAGATAGAATTATAGAAAGAACAACAGAAATAACAACAGATAGAACGATAAATAGATAGATAGATTCTGTAATTGTTGAAGGAATGGACTTTATTGACTTGATATTAATGAAGAATCAGAACACATTCATTTACAAATGTTACAATCAAACATTCATGTACACTGCAAACAAAGCAAAACGACGAAAGTGAGATGAATGAAGAAATGTCATTCTGAACATGTGCTGTAAAGGTGGCAGGGCAGACCTCCTACAACAGTCAAATCAGACACCTTCTTTCCGAAGGTGAGGTTGGGTATTTTTAGACATGCATATGAAACACCCACATAGTAGAACAAAAGTCTGATTAGAAACATACAGACGCAGTTGTTAGGTTCTCGACCACTCGCTTAAACAATAAAACAATTCATACACATCATGTGCATTTCACTTATGCTGCCTCTGTCTTATAGGATATTCATTTTGAAAACTCATAACACCTTTGAGGGCGTTTTTCTCACCCTTTCGTCTGTACGCTCCTGTGCACAGTTTGTCTCATTTTCGCTGCAGCAGCAATTCAGACATTTGCATTTCAAAAAACTGATCAACTTAAATTAAGCATAAATCTTTTCCTTTATGTGCAAGAAAGCAAAAGTTATTACTCAGCGTTTTCCATCTTGTACATCTGCGCATTCCGTATTCGACATACAGTGCAATCAAGGTAGCCTGTACATTTTGCCAGCGTGCATGTTTCTCTGGAACTGAAACCATGACTTGGCCATTGCTGATGTTATGCTTTACCAGGAATCTTATATCTGGCCACTTGTGATTTTCAGCCTTGTGATTCAAACCTGGAATCTTCCTAAAGGCCATCATGAAAGATGCAAGAAACCACGTTCGAGTTCTCACTTTCCAGTTGCCGGCACAGGAAAACTCAAGTTCAGTTCCTCCTCGGCCTCTTCCTGTGCACTTATTTTTATTCTGATCTCTTGCGAGGGTGGATTTGACTCTTGCTGTGGTCTGCTGATGAGGGGAACGCCTTCTTCGCAAACTCCTGCCTCTTCCTTTTTATCACCCGAGTTGGAGCCCAAAATCACCATTCCAGGAGAGTAGATGTAGATGGACCCTATTACAGACAAATAATGATGAAGTCAACAGGCTTTTCTATACTTAAAATCAAAAATGATCCCTATTAAAGCCTTAGGCATTCTTTTTTTTAAAGAAGTCTCTTATGCTCACCAAGGCTACATTTATTTGACCAATAACACAGTAAACAGTAATATTCTGAAATATTATTACAATTTAAAATAACTGGCTTGTATCTGAATATATTTCAAAATGTAATTTATTTCTGTGATGCAAAGCTGAATTTTCAGCATCATACTCCAATCTTCAGCGTCACATGATCCTTCAGAAATCATTCTAATATGTTGATTTGCTGCTTAATTATTTTGAGTTATCTTGAATTATTATTAATTATTATTATTATTATAGTATCAAGAATAAATTACATCTTATGCACATACATGTGCATTGCAACATGCTCAATCTAGTATTATGGGATGCATTCTGGCATAACATTCTCCAGAAAGCATACAGCTTTCTTTCAAAACAAGGCACCATAATGTTGCTGTTTGCCTTTTGAAATAGCTTTGGAGTGCAACTGTGAAATCTTAAAATACTGTCTAGGCCGGCAGACAGAGAGGAACCAAGAGCAAGGTTTATTTTTCCACTTATCCTTTTTCCTTGTTCAGTTTGCCATTGCTTACATTTATTATGGGCGTTTTTGTTATTATGGACTACTAAGTCTTGGTAATAATCTTTAGCAGGAAATCCAAAACAATCAAAAAAGCAACTATGTTGTAAAAGTGAAAGAAAAAAAACCCAACAGAACAGGAAGTAAAAGTGGGAATTTAGACAATAGTGGACTCGAACATAAAGTGCTCTGTAATTAACTGTTCAGGAAACATGAGGTGTGTCTTTTTCCAGAGGTTAAGTGAAGCTAAAAGAAGTTTATCACACATCACATAAACAATCAAAAACATTTAAAGTCTGTGTAAAGGCAAATCAGAGAATTGTTTCTAAACACATTATAAATGTTAGAAATGTATTGCTGAAACACGTTAGAAAGACTGTGAACTATGTAGTACTGAATTATGGTATGGTATGTTCAGAATTTTTTTTGGGGAGGGGCTAAAATCAGGTCTCGATGACACACTGGAGCCACTGAGCATGGCCCCTCCCCTAACACTATAATAACTAGAGCGCATTAGCATCAATGGTTCGCGAGTTGCTGTCATTACCGTTAGTTACTGCAGCCAGTTTGCTAGCTAGCTATGCCTTTGTCACGTATAATTGCATATTACTTGTTGTATGGCTGTGTAAATCCAACTGGCAGCAACCATTCAGGTTGTAGCGGTATTTGACAGTTGATAGAGACGGCAGCTTTTCCGTGAGTGGGCGTGGTTTCAGCGGCGCCATTGGACACGCCCCCAGCATTTGAGAGCAGAGAATACGGCTTATTTTTTCAAGATTTTAAAAACGTATTTTATTTACTTGGCGGCTCTTTTTATCATTCAAATCTGGCTAGGTGGTTAATAACGCATTTTTCTGTGGTGTGGCAAACTCAGAACACATTCGATAATTTAACGCTTTACATGGACTTTAATCTCCAACCTGCTATATAAAAATGAAAAATAAATATTCTTTGGAAGGTATTGCAAAATGCCTTTTGTTTGTAAATTAATAGTTGCCCATAAATAAACAGCTAGTCATCCATTATTCTTTTCACTACACCAAAAGTAGATGATGTATACTGCCAGCCTCCAACAAAAGACAAAGAGCAATGCAAAAAGTGATGTTCTTACGCTGTATTTTCCAGAAGTGGGTAGAGTATCCAAAAACTGTGCTCAAGTAGTGTTGTATTTTTATGTCAAATTTAACCAGTTACTTCAGTCAATCACAATACTATAATGCTATAATTTTTTTCCAGCATCAACAAAAGCCATCTTTACACACTTCAGTCAATCACAATACTATAATGCTATAATTTTTTTCCAGCATCAACAAAAGCCATCTTTACACTGCAGAGGTGTAACAGTAGCTGCATCTGACATGGCATTTATGTTTATTTACACAGACTGTTTAATGTTGCTCATGTACACATATTTACACAAAAATCACATAATGTAAATAGCCTATAAATAAAAAAATTAACCCATTAGAAGGTGAAGCAGCAATATCATGAAAAAAATCATTATTGCTGATTATTGCTCTTGATATGGTGATAATGATCATTAATATCGATTAGAACTAATAGCAAGGGTAAAGCATGAACCGTTTATGAATTGCTTAGTTTTTACAGATTAGCCTAGACAATCAAGACTTCACATTGGTTATTTCAGTAGCTATCACGAAAAACAAAACAGATGTTCAAACTGGGAATAGATTATATAAAGAAAGTGAGCAAAGAACACCAAAGCGGTCCCATGACTTCAGTCTGATGTGAGTTATGCACTTTCGCAAAAACTCCCATTATAATCACTGAAGCTGCTGTCTACACTACAAAATCAATTTCTTACTTACATAGCTTGGGCCCTATGAAATATATTACATTTTTTCCCCAAATTCTGTTTTATTTTTTTCAAAATTCAGTTTTTTCCATTATAAATTTTTCTGGATTCCATTTTTTTTCTGTTTAAATTTGTCTAGACTCTGTTTTAATATTTAAATTCAAATTTATTTATCAAAAAGCATGTCATGAAACTCACAATATTAAACAGCAAATTATTAAAAATGTAAATATATTAAATTTTTAAGGTCCTATGAAATGTTTTATTTTTTCTCAAATTCAGTTTTTTTTTTTTTTACCAAATTCTGTTTTCAATTAATTTTCTGAATTCTATTTTAAAGGTTTCATTAAATATTAATAATCAAAAGCATCTTTAATTAATTGATTTTATATTAAAAAAATATTTATTATTATTTTATTTATTTAAATAAATGTATGCTAAATAAATTCTGGTAAATATTTCTT